ACTATTTCTAATAATGATCTTCTGCTCTACCTCAACGACCTGGCCCGGGTTGCTCGAAGCATGGTTATTGCTAACTAGCGTTAAATACCATGAAAACCTATACATTTTGATACCTCTTAACCAACGGTTAGCGCTACCCAGGCTTCGAGCAACCGGCCCCTGTTCTTAAAATTTACCTAAAACCTGTTCAAAACAGTTGAAAATAGCCTGAAGACCCGACAAACCGATTGTTAGCAAAAAATGAACTTACCATAGGTTTGGTATATACTGAACAAATGACAGACACACAAATGCGTTGGCTGCATATCCTTTTTAAGGATCGTGGCAGTACTTTTATTGTTATTTTGAACACTTTTTTGGAAGGCAAATTGTTCTTCTTTTCTTTATGGAGAGGCAGAACCTGTTAAAAAAATGGAAAGCGTTATTTGTTGTTGTAAATACCACGGTACTAACGTGTTAAGAATTGCAATACGAATTAACCTTCTTTTCTTGTTTACCTGGTTTCTCGTTACCTTCAGTTTTATTTACACCTCTCTTGCACCTCAGTCGACTATTATCTTTTGTCAGCCTAACCGTCCCTGGAAGCATTGTAATTCTCTCCCGGTGCAAGCTAAGCACTCTACGCCAAAATTGCCAACAGTTGGTTTGTTGGCAACCCGTTTGTGCGGCATAAAAGCATAATTTATCTTTAAATCGTACATTAATTTAATAAGGTCGCGGTTAATCAAATTTGAAACTCTGAGTCAGAGTAATAAAAAACTGTCCAACTTTTGAAGTTTATTTTATTAGTGTAGTCTACAGAAGAGAACACTTCTTTAATCAAAGCGAAAAATTTTAACTACATAGACATCACCAAAATAGGCCTATTTGACCTTAACAATCGGAACTCGCGTTTATCTTGTTGACTCCATGGCCAGTTCAACACATATCGAGCCAACCTAGGAAAGGGACCATGCATGTTTACTGGTAACTTCTGGCGACACATTGAACAACACACAGAGAAGATTATGACAGAAAATCCTTTATATAAAGTCTAAAAGAATAATTTCTTTCTGCAGCAAAAATAACCAGTAAGAACCGTTAAAGCGATTTGGACGCTTATCACAACACATTGAGAAAAACAGCACTCAGATTTGACTAACGCTTGAATTAGACGCATTCAGAAAAAAAAATACCGACTTGATTAAAACTTGACAAATCGATGACAAAACTGGCTTGTGAATGAGTATACAATAGGCCTTTCGAGAGTATTATGGTATTTTTGGAAAAGGCCTATAGCTGTGTGAATTACCACAAGGTAGACCCAGAATAAATTTTAAAAGTACCGGGAAAGAAACATACAAACTTTCAAAACTTCTCGGTAGATACAAGAGAAGAAAGTTGAGGAAAGCTAGTGTTACAGAATTGCTAGCACAAGAACCATTTAAACTCCTAATATTTGATTGCTCAGTGATGTTGGACACCACTATCAGTTTGACAAAACTAATGAATATGAGAAGACTAAGATAGTCTATTTTTCACCCGCTCGTCACGATTAAAGTTAAAATTGCGAAAGAGCGCGAATTCAAACTTTTTAAAATAAACTTACGGCTGGTCAGTAACGTTTTTTCGGCGACTAGATTAATTTGGGTTTACTGCCAGCAATTAATGTAAACTCGGGCTTAATAGGCCAAAAATATAAGTTGAACTGAGGCCAAACCTGGTATCTTCGAAGAGGCACCAGCGAATCTTAGCTGGGGGTGACATTTGATCCAATCCAGAAATGACAGCGATCGTTTGAGATGAGTTTGGTCCTCCCAGTGTAAGTTAGCTGTCTAAACAACAATTCAATCAACTCAAAAACAGCGTCTTCCTTTTGTACAGTTTCTCGATTAAAATTCATTCCAACTCGAGAAATACTCGTGTTGCACATGCAAAGTAGCATTATCAAAGTTAATCAAGATGTGATTATGCGCATGTTGGATTATTTTTCACAAGTTTTACTGGCCTTTGTGTTCGGTACAACAATAAAAACATATACTATTGATGTCTATTCATATGCAATTAACGCTTAAAATTCTACCATTCAAAGACTAAACTTTTGTTAAACCGCTAAAATGTATAACAAATATTTTTTAAAAAGGGAAAGGATCATCGCACTTTTTCAAAGAACTATGGCTCTGGACAATCAGTGCTCAACGAAGACTGTGTTAAACCTGCTAGAAACGTTGTAATAACGATTTAATCAAAATCTTTTAATGAAGTTCATTGACGCCAAGAAAGATTAAAAATTGAACAAAAGGTCAGCAAACATGAGAAAACAGGCTTAAAAACTTTTCAACGTTTTCTGCTCCGGAAGAGACCGGAACTGGATATTCCTTAATCGTTCAAGAAAAGCTTACAGTCATGATAGAATAGTCTAACTCTGATATAAGACGTGAAGAAGATCGGAGATCCGGACTGCAATAGTTTCCTGTTTTGCTTGTTATTCAAAGTAACAGTTTTTAAATATAGCATTTTTTATTAGCCAAGGGAATCGAATGACAGAGTGCTAAAAGTTGCTTTTTTAGCATTTCTACAGTTCTGGAAAAGACAGAGCACCTTTCTCGCTGTAAAGATGATCATACGTTTATATTGCGCCCAACAAATGCTTGATGAAAACATGCCTATATTTCCCTTGCCGCTCGGGAAATACATCTGATTGGTCAGTTTCTGCTACTGAAACCGCGACCAAACTTTTATTAAAGTCCTCTGAGGCATGAAGGGTGGACCGCTCAGCAAAATGCTTTTGAATTATAGAATGGAGTTTCTTTCGCTAGTACAGCGAACTTTATATATCAGCAGCGTTTCAAGACTTTTAAGTTATGTGAAATAAAGGAAAGAAGAAGGAAAGAAATCGATCTCTTAGCTACGAGTAGTATACACTTTCTTTGAGTGTATTCCAAAACTTGAGTTGGTGCGCTGGCGAGTCTTGCCCTGTTAAAGTCAGCATTCGCCTGGCCATGCCATTGCGGGTATATCGCTTTTACGGACAACCATACAAAGAACAACAGCTAAATCACCCAAAAACCTTAAAGGTTTTGACTGGGAGAAGCTCTCATGATTGCAAACTTACGGAAACTTTTTCATTTCCCGGAAGCACATTTTATTCTTCTCGTCATCGTCATAACAGACATTGGGCCAACCTCGTCCCCAGGGCTTTTCCGGGAACGAGGTTGGCATGGGGTCTCTCATTAATTCAGTCAAACATGTACATTGGTAGCCTGAATTTCATCCGATTTCTTCGAGTCGTTACTAGTCGTTTTTTTGAAAGCGAACCCAACGATATTTACAGTCATGTAAGTGAAAAAGGGTCAAAAGGCAGGTTTTTTGCGCCAAAAACCTCGAGAATCACAATATCGAGGGAAAAGGAAAGGAGAAAAAGAAAGAGCTAGGAGGACGAAAGGAAAAGAAGAGAAAAAAAGGAATGGTTGCACTCTTAGGTTTATAATGGCTACTTTGGAGAGTTTTTGGCCGAAAAAACAGTTTGACGAAAGAAGTCTATTTGGTAGTAACGTTTTCAAACATCCGGCTAGATATAAAGTGAGGAAGGTAGAAGAGAACTATATCCTATATCGAACTATAGCCACTAGTAATCCCTAGTCAGTAAAGAAAGGACAAAAAGACTTGCTCTGTGTTCCAAATGTTCGTGCTTTTTTTGAACAGGAAAAAAACATATTGCTTTTTTAAACTGTCGGGACTGCAAATGCCTTCTAAAGTAAAGATCAAGTATTCACCCTGTTTTCATGAATGATATTGCCAGCAGCGCTAGCCTGCATGCCCTTCTTATTTAATTATTCCGCGTGGCCAAAGCGTTTCGGGTCACGTAGTCCAAGCGAAAATGTGAAAATGTTTCCCGCCCGTTTGCCTCGTATACGTCACCAAAATGAATTGACTGAGAGGGAGGTGAGCCCTGGGGACTAACTGTCCGCCCAAGGTGGGAGAACCCTGGGGACTAAGTAGTAAATCAGTGTTCTCCTACTCGAATACAAAAAATCCGCTTAAAATATCTTCATGTAACAAGTAACTATGTGTCACTCAACTTAACTATGCATCACTACTCATCACCACCTTTCACTGTCCATCACTACATATCACTTCACATCACTACCCATCACTACACATCACTACCCATCACTATCAATCACTACACATCACTACCCATCACTATCCATCACTACACATCACCACCCATAATTACACATCACTACCCATCACTATGAATGAAATCGACGGCAATGGCGGTAATGGCGGTAATCGTCGTCCGCCGTCGTAGATGCGCTTAGTATGCTAGTGAGTAAGTAAGTGATGTAAGCGACATTTTAGAAGGTAATCACGTACGCTATATAAAGGGCACAAGACTCACCTTATACCGACCTAATGCCAGGAGGAAAAGTTGGAGGAAAATTATCGAAACAGGTATTATTTGAAGACATCAACTTCAAACTGTACAACGATGGCGACAAAACAATGGCGTTTATGACTGCATGACAAAACCAGACTCCCATTATGGATTAAATGTCTCAATGATCACAGGGGCACCCAACGGCAATTTTCGGGAAAATATCTGTTCGGAAGACGATTTGAGATCTAGAATTTACGGAGCATTTGTTGTAAAATTTCTTGCTTGCCTGCCTCTCCTAGGATTTTCGAACAACTACAAAATGGTATAATTACCCATTTTTAACGGATTTTGACCCTAAAAAAGGCCACCTAGAATTTTCGGGAGCCTTTTCGTGGCTGAAATTTTCGAGAAGGTAAGTTTTTATCCCTATAATCTTCGGATCACTAAACTTTCAGCTAGGAAATCCGAACAGATGAAAAGTTTTTAGGGGATAAAAATATGCCTATATCTATCGTTTGAATACTAAAATACGTTCAACAATGCTATGTTAAGTGGTTTTGAACTATATCCTCGATGGGGGCCCTGTGTTCAGTACAGAAAGCAAGACCACAAGGAAAATGCAATAGACTGGAAAATGAGCGACCAACAGGCAAAATTGTTGGCGCAAGTAGCCATCCAGTACGATGCACATGGCACAGTGAAATTGAGCAATCTGGCTATCTCATTCTTTTTAACGACGTACCATATCCTGATCCAAGGAAATGAATGCGGAAACTGATGCCGGGAAATTTTTCCCAAATTGATATGTAGTGACGTGTAGTGATGGACAGTATAGTGTAGCATATCTTTATTGTGCCTTACTCTCCAAAGGGAGGCATCCGTCTAGTTACAATAAAGGTTTTTTCAACAACAACAAATTTAAAAAGAAAGAAATATGAACGGAAACAACAAAATTATACGGCATATACTATTTCGATAATAATTATACTATAATTTAATTACCTAATCAATTGGATTTTTGACTCAGGAACTGTTTTCTTTTTTTAAACATTAGATGGGCATATTTGGCTATAATATGTGAAGTTTTGTCATTGTCCAGTCTAAGTAAATATAACGTTCTATCATGATCTGTTAAATTGATGAAGATTGCATCATTTTCAGAAATATGAAAATAAAGTTGTTTTCTAAGGCTTTCGTATTCAATACAATCAATAAGAAATGTTTCTCGTCTTCTATGTAGATTCTTTTGTAAACTAAACAAAGCCTTTCCTCTACTGGCATAGAAGCTCCTTTATTTTCATATTTCCCTGTCTGTATACGTAAAGTATGAACTCCCAATCGCATTTAGTCATACTGATTCTATGAACTGGATTTCTAACTATCTTTAGGTATTCTTCCGAGCGATAATCTTTTTTAATTTCCTTGTTTGTATATTTTTGTCTAGAGCTATCCGAAATGTCGTTTTGAGCTTTAAACCAATCTTGAGAAAATTTTTTCTGCAGCTTTTGTTTAATGCTAGAACGAGTGTTATTATAGCCTGCGTAGCAGGCGCTTGGAAGTAGTGGGCACAAGAAAAAACGGGCGCGCGAGAAGGAGACGCGTGTCTCCCTCGCGCGCCCCCGTTCTCTCTTTCGCCCGCTACTTCCCAGCGCCTGCTACGCAGGCTAGTGTTATTAATACATTGCTGGTTTTTTATTTCCTCGTTTTTGTAGTGCAGTGATAAGTGGAGTGTTGGTGGAGTGAATGTTTTGTTATGTTGAGTGACACATAGTTTTATGTTACATGAATATATTTTTTGAGCGGATTTCGGAGGTGTCCCCCAGGTCCCCCAGGATCTTTTCTTTTTCAAATACGACGAGAGGACCCTGGGGACGAGGTCTTCTTCCCGCCTTTCTTCAAAGATGGAGAATTTTGTCGAAGATGTCAAGTCGTTGACAAAAATTCTAACGAATTTAGAGCACTGCTCTCCTTCAGAAGTTACAGAATCTAAATTTGCTACTGTCGATTCGCAGCACGAGTTTTCAGTCTGGTTTGTACCGCCCAGAACATTCCATCCTTTACGAAGAATCGTTGGAAAAAATCCAGAAGCGTTTCTACTCGTTGGTAGGAGTTTTGAAGATAAAACTTCCCAATTGGCACGGTACAAGATTCAACGAGTTCCAGTGGGCACCCCTCTGTCGCAAGAACTTTTTTATCTCACAAACAGCGAACCTTTACAATCTTACACGGGAATAAACAAAGAGGATAGCCAAGAAAAACGTGGAGTTGTGACCGAATGGCTGTTGTCTGCAGAAAACCTTCATCCAACTTCGTTACAAGAAGCGAGGTATTTCCTTTCCCTCTACGCGAATGCCCTTAGAGGTTCTTTAAAACGTGTAGATGTATGGCTATGTGTAGATGGAAACAATTCTCAAGAGATATCATACCTTGCGGCCATCTCTGAAAATCAAAATGCCAAGTTCATGAGACATGTTATCTTTACAAGTAAAAGTGAACCAGTAACAAGGAAGGAGGATTTGCCTGAGCTTAGTTTGTTCCTACGCCAACATCACTCATCAAGTGCGCCGACCGCCTTTGTGGAAATCCAGGGATATGCCCTTCACGAGATTATGGGCTCCCCCCAATCCGAGAATCAAGAATGTGGGCATAGTCAGATCACTGTGGAGCTGACATGGACTGGGGTTAAATCCCTACTACAACCTCATCCGCATTCATGTGATGGTGTTCTTCATATCAAGAGCATTCCTGGAAGCGTCCATCTGTCCACTCATACTCTATACTTGGAAATAAAGAGAGTTGATCTCTTCTCCAAGATCTTAGAGAATGAAAATTTAACATGGCCTGAAGCAAACGCTTTGAATGCAAGCCCAGTGTCAAGTCAAATGGATGACTTCATTGCTAAGTTAAGTTCCAGTAATGTATTCTCTCCTACAGTTGAAGAAGAACTGGATAAAGACAACCATGATGAAGAAACTAACTTTGCTGATGCTACGATGGCTCACTTAACCTTCCAAGAGTTTTCTCGCAAGGATTTGGATTTCTCTGAAAGGCTTTGGCTCATATTGAAAGACTGCCTTGATGAAGAAGACCTTGTTGCTTCACTACAAATATGTGACCCTATTTGGGAAAAGCGGGCTTAACGAAAATTGCGTTCAGCCGTTTTTTATCGCAACGCATTTGGAAACGTTGGAATGCATTGGCGAACATTCTTAATGCATTTGAAAGCGTTGGCAATGTTCTCCAACGGAACTAAGAAACGTTCAGTATCGTTTCAAAATCATTTCAAAACATTTGGAAAACGTTTTCGAACGTTGAAAATGCGTTAAATGGAACATCATTAATTCGTTGCAACGGGAAACATTCACCAAACATTCTAACATTGTCAACGACTGAGTTACAAAAGCTCCGAACTGTCAGGCATCTCCTCGCTCCATCATTCGACAATTTAAAGCCACGGTCATAAATGAAGTGATAAAACGTTTAAAACTTCACAGCGTGAGAAATGTTGGATCCGAGGAATCAATAATTTGTTCCATTTTCAGTTTTTAAGTCTGTGTTATTAAAGAGGGCAAAAAAGAGGGGAATTAAATTTGAAAGCACGCGTTGTCGAAAGTGTTATAGGTCTGAATTTATTTTATGCTGTTCTTTCAGTGTTACGGCGGTGTGCGTGCTTGTGACTACCTTGCTTGATAGCTCCCTGTAAAATTAACAGATATCAGATGCTTGATATGGGTCGCTGATTTTAAGACTAAAATATACCAAATTTCTACCGGGGGAGTTGTACTATTTACCGACTTTTCCTTATTCCCGTGTTTCCCGTTTTTTTTGCTCGGGGATTCAACAAATTCAACCAGTTCAGTCACGGAACGCCCTGGCAAACGCTAGACATTGTATCCTTTTTAAAAAAGCGAAAACCTGAAAACGTGACATTCTTCACAAAAAATTCATGGTTTTTATCTGTACCAGTCAGCTGCTATGAAGATGTCAAAATTTATGATCACGAATATTTTCTGATCAAAGCTTGTTGCGTGACACTATCGTCATCGCGGCTCAAGGGTTCGGAAAGGTCAACGCGGTAATGTTTTCCGTATTACTGTTTGATTTTTATGGTGTTTTTTTTTTTCACTGATTCTTCAATGGACTGCATGGCTCGCATGACTCGCTGGCTCTCATTTTATACACGTACAGCACACTTTTTGGCAGATTTCTTTGCCATCATCGCTCGATTAACGTTGTCAAGCAAGCGCGCAATGTGGTCGTCGCTTTTAATCTCTAAAATCTTCTGCTTACGATCGTCGCGACTTCAATTTCGTCGGAATTACTGAAGTACTATTTTTCTCACCTTTGGTCTCGCTCTCTCCCAATTTTTTCGTCTTGTATCTTTTCCCCGAGGGATTTTGGAGGCGGAACGGATTAATTTTGAAAGGGATGTGAGAATTCACCGACTGCAAGCAGTCTAGCACGCCGCTGACGAAGGTAGAAAAGGGCAAATAATGGGCAACCCCAAAATTCTGTCAGCCAGCTACGTACAAAAAGAAATGCACGACCTCAACAGTCAGCCTTACAGTTTTAAGAAACTTCTCAAAAACTTCTCTCCTTTATTTCCAGATTTGAAAGTCCAAGAAAGTAATTTCATGCTTTTCTCAATTACCTCTTGACATGTTACAACCTGAAACAACATCAAACACACGCAATGTCACAAAGATCAAAGTTCTATGCAAATCGATTTGAACCGATCGAGAACAAAAAGTAAAAGCCTTTGTTTTCCATTGCGAATTCATGTCGTTATTCCCGTTGATATTACTGTGATATGGAGGTATCATTACTGTTCCTGAAAAAAAGTTGTATTTTCAAAGAACGTTCTCAAGCGTATCGATGTCTAATCATCAGTGGCTTCAATTAATGATAATTTTTCGCATCCTGGGTTGAACTTCAGGGACTAATTTTATCGATAAAAAAAAAAAAACGTTTGGAAGCATTGCCAATGCATTGAACAACGTTGAAAAAACATTCTGAAACGTTGGAAAAACATTTTAAAACGTTGAAAACAATTGCCTGCGTTTGAAGGAAAACGTTGTAAATGCGTTGAGAATCATTGGAATCCGTTTCAATGCATTGTAATGCATTCAAAATGCGTTGAAATGCTTTTCAACGCAAATTTCATTAAGCCCGGTTTTCCCAAATAGGGTCACATATGCAATGGAGCTCTTTTCAGTGGCAAATGTCAACCTGTTTTTCACAGTTCAAACATGACATCCCTAGCTGTATTTGCCAGGGATCTGCTACAGTCTGAGACCAAAGAAGATCAAGAGAAGCTCCAAAACAAAGCCAAGCAATTCCTTTCTCCTGACGCAGCTATCAGGTGCTTGGTAGAAATTGGAGCTGAGAAGCTTGCCAGAGACTACACTCAATACTTCATGCACGAGGAGCTGGCAACCATGGGGCAACTAGCCAGTTATGTTAACAGTGATATTCCTCTTGCCACCAGAGTCTCAAACATCAAGAAACTCCATCAAACTTTGGAACTGGTTGTAACTGCTAAGTCAGTGGCTAGACTCAGCCATGAAAACCTGCGATCCTTGACACAGAGTGCTTTAAGCTACTACCAATCTCACCCCGACAGCGAGAAAGCAACATTTTCTCTATCCCTGCCAGCTTTTGGATCAACTGCTGGGGCAGCAGTCAAGAGTATCTGTGCTACTTCTAACCCTGCAGTTTGGTGTGCTGCCATCACATCAAAAACAAAGACAAGAAATCACACAACGATTGTCCAGTTAAGTTCAAATCAAACACGTAATAACTTCAGATCTGATACTCTTGATTATGATGATACTCAGTTAAATGAGGAAGACTTTGATACAGACAAGGACAAATTTCAGTACTATGTTTCCTGTGCTAAGCAAGTGCTGATGCCCATTATTCAGTGAGCATAAACTACATGTATTTGGACTTGACTGATGATACAGTACACGGGAGCTAAAAATACAAATACTTTTGCCTTAAAGAAAAGATCATGGTCAACATAACAAGTGACTGAATCATGAGACAAATAATTGTATGTTACCATGAGAAAAAAAATAGTCAAGGCAAAAACAGACACCTTTTGGCATGAAGCTCACCATGTATTTCGTTGGTGATTATATTATGAGAAAGAACTAGTACTACATGTAAAGAAAACAAAATTATCCTTATTCTTGAAATAGAAATTATGATAAATACTGTTTGTACCAAACAGTTTATCACCGTGTACAGGGTTGTCACTAAGATTTGAAGTTGCCGGGTAAACACAACAAGTAGGCGGGGAATCAAATGGCTAGGGATTTCTTTTGGCTCTATTTTTCTTCTATTTTCCAATAAAAGTAGCCGGGGGCCACTCTCTTAGTAGCCGGGGAAAATCCCCGGCCCCCGGCTCTTAATGACAACCCTGGTGTAGAACTTTGTAATTTATTTGGTGTCTTTGAAATACTTTAAAAAGGAAAAGGCATAAAGAGGTGATTGAACTTGTACTAGCTTTTTTTTACATACCTACCCTTTGCTACCCACCACAACCACCCCTCCTCCCCTCCAAAAAAATAAATCAAGGAAAGGAAAATAGTGCATTATGGCCTTGGCATGGTTTCATCCTTGAATTTGAGGAAAGGAAAGTTTCCTATTCTATTTTGTCCTGTCCAAGGGCCTGTTTCCGAAAAGCCCTGGTAACTCTTTGGGCTCAGAAAGCTGTTTAGTGTTTGCCATGTTTGTATTCAAGATCAAAGTTTCAATAATTTTGAAAATGATACAGTGAAACTATCAGTTAACGAAGCAAAATTGACTGGTTGAGCTTTAGGAACTCTGCTGATATTCAATAGGTTTTCATTTTAAAATTTGCCTTTGAGTCTGAAAAGTTTCCGCACCCTTGAGAAACAGGCTAAGGTGAGGTGAGCAGTTAGTGGCACAAAATAGGTTTTGGGGATGAAACAGTTCTACAGGGTTCTTACAGGTCATGGAAAACCTGCAGAGTCATGAAATTTAAGAATTTCGTTTTCCAGGCCTGGAAAGTCATGGAATATTTAAATTTCTTTCCAGGACCAACAATTTTAATTGTCACGGAAAATTAAAGCTATGTCTGTTAGATTAGTCGCTGCAGATGTTAAAGCAAGGACAATGTAAGATAGAGACAAGTGATTAAACAGTGCAAATGGCACGCATTTTTGTGGATACCAGAGTTGTCTGTTGTACTGAGTAAATGCCCTAAAAGAAGGGAAATTTTTAATGTGGCGGCTAAACCTATGGTCATGAAAAACTTGGGAAGGTCATGGAAAGTCATGGAATTTGAAGAGCTTAAAAGAGTACGAACCCTGTTCTAGAGGGAGAATGCCCATTCCATCATAACCTTCCAGTATTATTTTAATTTATAGATTTAGTCAAAGCTAAAAGTGAAGCTTCCGTTTATGCAATGCAAATATGACTTTTGAGGACTAGCTGAAAACCATAAACTATAGCCTATGGTCAATATTTAAAAAGCTAATAACCGGATCACCCAAAAAACCTAAAAAAAACAGTGACCTTAATGAATTGGCACCTGGGCTTGTGATGCGGTCGTGTTATTCTGGTCAGTGGATACCCTGTTTTTGACAGCTGTCAATGAAGGCTAGAAAATGAGTTTGTCACATTGGTTGTCCTGTGGTGAGGACGGATAGGAGGAAGGGCGTATGGTCACGTGACTACTGACATTCTGCAAATAAAACTCCCCAAAACAAATTTCTTTCCTTTCTTTTTCTTTTCAACCACGATAGAGGAGCGCGTAGAGACTAAAAGACGGCTGTATGTGTATTCGCATAACCACTGCCCGGCGGGGTATTGAAAAAAAAAATTGATGAGGTTACTTACCCTCCCCTCCCCTGTTCGCCCTTTTCGCTCTCTCTACTGTGCATTCTTCCACATGAATGTTACAAGCGCGACAGTTTCCGTTAGCGTTATCTGGCCGTCATGTCAAATCAAGGCCAAAAGCAAAGAATGGCCATGAAACGGTCGGCAAGTTACAATGGGTTTTCCTTCGGATTGTCCTCCAAAATCGACGAACTAACAATCGACGATAGTTTATTACAACCTTCGCTATTTTTAGGCGGATGGAATCTGCCTTTCCACAGACGTGACCTGGTGAGATCTCCAAACCACGGAGTAGATTGCCCTATTTCAAATGGGTTTCCAGGCGGCTATGAGGGTTTTAAAAATGCCGATGTTAGTTTAACCGAGTTGAGCGATGCCTCTAGCGGGAGCGATTCGGCATGGCAAGAAGAATTTCTTCGCTTGAGGCGACAGGAAATGGCGTTTGAGAAGGACAAGGCAAGGCTCTCCGAAGAGGTCAAGGCACTTACACTGAAGCTGGAATTAGAGGAAGATCTGAGGCGCAATGATAAAGAATGTATGGATATTTTGAGAGGTCACATATCTACCCTGGAAGGAAAACTCCAGGGAAGCGAGAAGAAGATAAGAGAATTGGAACATGAGAAGCAGCGAGTGGAATTAAGCGAAGTAAGCTCTGCGTTGACAACCGCATCAACCCGCGAGTATACGCTCGTGAAAGCGCGCTTGGATGCGAGTCAAGCTACTGTTCAGGCGCTTGAAGCGGACCTGAAGATGATGAAAAATGAACGATCCAAGTTTGAAAGTCAGAGAAAGGAATCACAAGATCTTGTAATTAAACTTGAGCATCAACTTGGCTGTGCAAACAAAGAGCTTCAGCGCCGAGAAAATAGAATAAACGAACTCGTCGAAGAAAGAAGGTCCTTGGAGGATTACCAGATAAAATCGCGAAGTCTTCAGAGAAAAGACCAGAAATCCTCTTATGCTCTGCAAACCCAAATTGTCAACCTTCAAGAAAAGTTGGAAATTTCGGAAAGAGCAAATGAAGAACTGGCCAGCGAAAAAGTGAACTTGAAAGACAAAGTTAATCAACTTGAAAACAAGATCAAAGAGTTGGAAGGAAGCTATCGTTTGAAACTTGAGAAAGCCTTAGAAAGAGTTAAAACAATAAAGGAAATAAACTATAGTACTGAAGAGGACAATCAGCTTAATTCAGTGAGTGATAATTCTCAAACTAGCCATACACATTTTTCAGCTGTGGAAAGCAGCCCCACTGTAAAAGAAGGGAATGACATGTCGGAACTTAAAAGACTCAGCTCTGCTTTGTTAGTAGAGCTAAACAAGCAACTAGGAGGAAACTCTTTCACTGGAATTGATCTGGAACATTTAAAGAGTGTTTTGAACAAAGTTGTTATGCAGTTTGCTAGTGGTACATTAGAGGCCTCTCCTGGGAACAAATTCTTAGAGAGACCATTGAAGTTGGGGACAGTTTCCAAGGAGTCCTCTCAGGAAAGGACCATGTGGGAAAAGGCCCTACAGGATGTAAGTTAAATAAGAGAGGGGTCATGAGTTGACCCCATTCTTGCCCCCAGATGCTACAAATACCCCTTTACATCTTTACAGTGCGACTATTCAGGGTTGTCGAAAGAAGCTGGCTGCCGGCAAAAATCGCTGCCTACTTGGTTAGTATCAGCTGGCTACTCTGCTTGGCATTTCTCTACGAATGGTGTTTTTTACATAAATATCCCTAGACTGGCCGCTTACTTTGACAACTCAGCCGTCTACTTCAAATCTTTCTGACAACCCTGCTATTATAACCAGGGCCACCAAGACAAAGTTGACCAATAATTGGATAACACAAAAATAACAATTTATATTCCAAAAAAGTTAGTTGTCAATCATTACCTTGGAACGAAAGTAATTTACTGACTTTGAAGAGCTTCATAAATTTCACCCCAAGTGTGGGGGGAAGGGGTATGCAACAAAGTTTTATGCTGGGAGGCTGCACCCAAGGGCCCCACCCCTTTTCCTTATACCATTTTGGACAGAAGTGTTACTCCTTTCATACACCTCCTAATCCCCCCCCTCTCTTTTTATTCGCTTAATGCTCTACACAACTAAGTGTATATAAAGAATTTAAAGTGAAAACATTGAACTGCACATTATTATAACTAAGAGATAATAATAATTTATTATTATTACATGCAATCAATTCTCTTCCAAAATTCAGATGTATTGAGACCTTGCTCTTGGAAGAGACCCCCTCAGTTCTTGTAAGCAACCAACCAATTCTTGTGAGCAACTGCTAACTCTTTGCATTTTGGGTGGTCACCTATGGGAGGTCTGGCTTGTCTTTTATTTATTTTTTTCTTTTTCATATTCAGCAAAATTATGAAATAATGGAAAATCTTATACTTCTGAAAAAATTTGACTTTTCCAAATTATTTGGTTCATACTCACTGTTCCTGGGCTCAAAATGTTGGACATATTAGTCCAGGCTCAGATTATTCAAACGTTGGATTGGGCAATCCAACAGATAAATCACTATCCACTGGATAAGAATTAGGAAAATCAATTTATTGCACTATCCAGTGGATGGCTTTATTAATCTTTTGAACAACTGAGGCCAGATGTGAAGCTATGTAAAACAGCTGACCATAAAAAATACTGGAGATAATACCATTATGCACCCTATTTAAATAATATTAGAATGTGGGCATTCTTAACATTTTGTTTTTATTTGTAGATGAGCAGGAGTCACAGCAAGAGCCTGGAAAGGTAATAAGCTCCAATTCACTCTTTAAAAGAATTAAGGGTTCATTAAGAAGTTAATTTGATTTTAAACCACATCCCAGAAATTGAACCCACGGCCTCCTGCTTTGCAGGCCAGTGGTTTACCAACTAAGCTTATCCTGCTGCCTTTGAAACTAAACAAATATATATTTTAGTAAACTGCTAATGAGAGATGCAGTCCCTGTTTAGTTGAGTGAAAGTCTAGGAATGTAACAATGTAATAAATATTTATTCTTGCTTCAGTGCACCTGCAAGGGCGCCATTATTTATGGTCCAGAAGGTGACAAGAGAGAAATTCACTACATATCGTCCTGATCTGTGGGAGAAAAGACAGATGGCCTCCAAATCCAGGTCACATTTGAGAACAAGAAGGAAAAATGCTGAAATGGATGCAGGTGACAAAGAACAGAAATAATGAAGGAGCAGCTATGTTAACACAGTGGAACCTCCATTTCTTGATCACCTCTTGTGAGCAACATTGTAATAGGCGACCACCTGGTATCCGAATAACAGGGTTCCCAGTCATAAGCACCAAGTCTAAACAATATAGCTGGAATTGGGTCTTGACAAACTGCGAACAAGCAAACAATGCAAGTCACGTGAGCCATCTGTAAAAATAAAGTAAAAACAAGTAAAAACTGCAAATTTACAGATTAGGAGTTGATCACTCACTATACTGATTAGGATTAACCACTCATTGTAGTGACTAGGATAAGCTTTCATTTTACAGATTAGGGTTGAGCACTCATTTTAGGGCTAGGGTTAACCATTGTTTAGGGTTAAACACTTATTTACAACAGTTAGCTTTCAGTTAATGTTTTCTGTATCACTGTTTGCGGGATTTTCCCATTTTCTGTCTTCAGTGGACTTCATGGCTCTCATGACTTGCTGGAATCTCTCATAAATGACTGCCTTCCATAGACCACCACCAAATCTTGACAATAATTAATTTGGTGGTCACTTTTGAAAGACGTCTTAACTCTTAGGATTTTTGCACTAGTCTGTGGATGTGCTATTCAGGGGATGGAAGGTATGAAACACAGGTCACAAAGGCAGGTCACTTCTCTATTGATGAATAACTGAGAAAAACAGATTCCCCTTTAGCTCAAACTCTATTTCAGTTCGTGATCAGGGCTAGGAGAATGAATGAAAATGAATGAATGAAGAGTCATGGATGAGAGGACAACAGACATGCCCTCTTAGAATACATTTTTAACATGTGAGCATTAAGCTCGGACGTCAGCATATGTCAGCATACAGGAGACAACCTTTAATGGTGTTGTTTAATTATCGTGGTACGGTGACCTGTACCCTAACCTGACCTGTAGCCTGTGTTTTGTGCCTGCCAATCCAGGGGATAACAGGAAGTATGGGGGCTCGGCGGAAAATTGTTAGGCAAGGATACACCACTTGGAAAAAAAACACACCTTCATCGTCATTATCATCATCATCTTAGTATAGAGGTAGGAATTACACATGAAGTTTGATTTTCTCAGTACCAAGTGAAATGTCCATATATATTAAAAAGAGAATGATAAAGGTATCCACTCAAAGGGCCTAACAGCCATTTGGTTTTGCCAAAATTAATTTTGCTAGGTCATGCTCATTGTATTTATTGCATCACTGCAGAGTTTCAATTTTGATTTTTGTAAAGTCATTTTAAGACCATTTTATATCAGGCACAACACTGTAACTTGCGACATGCTTACGATAATCCAACATCACAGACATGCTTGGACAGAATTGCGTAAGTTGAAGGTTTATTTATGTGCTACGGTTTGATAGACAATTTGAGCTAGGTATTGGGCTTGAATGTGCAACTGAGACTTAAGCTATGGGGTCTTCCAAGATGACTTCTTGAAAAAAATTTCACACTTCTTAAAGATGTATGTTAAGAAGATTTGGTAGGTGGGTAAAAATTTTGTACAGTCAAGTCAGGTTAGGTTAAAGGAATTTTAATAATATCTAATATGCTGCAAATTATACTAATATTAATTATTGCTCTCAGTTTTTCTCAATATTTATAATTTCAAGGAGAAAATGTAAAAAATATTATTATGTTTTGCCAATGATCAAATTTGGTTCACATAATTCAGATTTACATGGTTAATGGACCTGTGAATCTTTGGTGGAGGTTTGGTTATATCAGCTCAGATCCCAGTAATGAAAAGGATACATATTTAAATGCTACATAAACAATCTATTCAAACATGAAACTTTAAAAGATCTGTTTCAGAAAAAACATGGCAGTACTTTTGACAGTAATCAAGTAAGGGGTTTCTCCCAACGAGGGGTACTCAAGTATAATACTGTAACAGTACATAACAGGCCAAACAGGGTAAAGTCTTTTGGAGGTAAGAGATTTTGCTGAGCTGGTTATTAGCTCAATCTTCTTGTATTCGTGGTGTTGCAGACAGACTCAGTTAGCAAAAATAATCAACTACAATAAGTTACTGCATTATGGTGCCAATAACGTGCTCTGCTTATCATTGTACATAGCATCAGCAATACCAGAAGCAGCCATTTTCTTAATCTTATTGTAATATGGGTGAATTTATTTTTCTCAGATTGATTATTTTAATATAAATGTTATTTTATAATATTATATGAAGGCTTGCAGAATAAAATATTATTTTAATGAATTACCATAATTTTTTTGTGCTAATCATTTTTATGCTGCCAGTCTCTGTTGTGACCATTCTTATTGAAGTCTGAGTCACAGACTGATATATCATGATTTAGTAAAATCCAACTCAGTAGTGGTCTATTATCAATGCTACATTCTGATTGGTTTAGCTACTACTAGGCTATATGTTATAGCCCACCAATAGCGAAAAGCGCGGGTTTTTTGGCGACAAAAAAAGGAAGAAAATCTAGATTTAACTAGATAAAGTTTTTTATTCTCGATGTTTTTGACCAACTAGTTGGATTTTACTAAATAATAATAAATTATTCCTCTCACCCTCATGGCCTCTGAGTCAATAGCCCATTCACCCTTCAGCCTCATGGGCTATTGACTTAGAGCCCATTTGGGCTCAAGGAATAATAAATTGTTAAACATCCTGCTATATATCAAATCAGTGCGAAAAGTCATTTTACAAAAGTGAAAACTAATAAATACTTATAACTGCTTTAAATGCGTATAGAAAACATTGAGTATCTGATGCTTCTTTGTGTTTCTTTTGTGAACAGTGAATTGTCAAGTCTTCTCTAGGTTCTAAAATGTTTCACAAAATGTATGTATATATTTGTCAGGTACAAAATTATAGAAATTGATGCCCCCGCCCCCATTAACAAATATAATCATGGGAAAACAGAGAGTAGCTGGCAAATGGGTTAGAACTCAGGAATCTTGATGCACAATTGAAATTCTCAAACTCGTTAACTATTCAATAATTCATGCAGTCAAAAGCCAATAAATGACAACCATTTGGGTCACCCTCGTTTTTGACATATTACGTGAAAGCACTTTTAATTGTTTTACACATCTGCCACAAACACTCAGGTGATCCCTTGCAGTTTCTAAATTCATTAAGAAATTGTTGGTAACAATGTGTGAAATTCATCACCACATAAAAAATAATTATGAAACAGTAGAAAAGTTCGAATTTTCAATAATAATTCTTTATTACTTTTAAACAGTTACCTTATTTTACAGGTTGAAACAAAAGTAACAGTACTATAGCCTGCCCTTGCCTACATACAAGCTATCTTGGGCACAAAAATAAGAGAGAGGTCAGACCCATTCGCCCTGACACCACCCCACCCTTTTGGACTGAATACTTCAGTCTAATAGTCCACTAAATTTGGGACTCTTCCATCAGTTTTTACAAACAGTTACCTATTAATTCCCCTATTGTTGTCCCTTACTAGTCTAAAAATTCCTTTTCTACTTTTAACATAAATCTCTTGAGCCACATAATAAATTATAGTTCAATTTCAGGCAGTTTTTTTCTTTTTTGACTTTTTGATTAAATTAAATAAGTGGTTAAAAGTAGAGTGTTGTCTTAGCCATTCAATTAACCCACAGTTCATGTGTTGTTGAAAATTTCAAGGCCAAAAATGTTTCATTATGAAGTAAAAGAACTTTTGGTTCTGGAATCAATTACAAAATGCAACAAATGCTATATAAGGCACAGGAAAAAACAGCCTAAAATTCAACCTTTAACCATAATTGCCACCCAAAATTCAACCTTTAATATCATAATTGGCCTTAATCAAAATTTAACACTGACAAGGCGGTGCTCTTAAAAGTGTGTTACACAACAGGGGTCACCAGAGAGCACACATCCACACACAAATTCTCCAGACTGATCTCCATACATTTCTTTTAAGAATAGTTGAGAGAATTTGGTTTGAGATCAAAGCATTCTCCCTTTGGTAATCAATTTAGTAATTCTCATAACCTTTACTCTTGATGATCTGCTGATGATGTTAGGACAAAATTGAGTTTGATCACTATTGGGACCTAAAGGGTTAACTAGGAACAAAATATGAACAAGAGGGACTCCAAAACATTGTTCGAATCTAACAAAATTATCCCTTTCTCTATATAAAACCTTAGTTCACTTGAGTAAAATAAAGAAGGATCTGTCGACTGCTAGCTCAATGATCAATATGAAAGTGGATAAAATCCTTACTTTGTGTGAACTTTCAGAGAATACATCATTATAGGCACTCTTTACTTGTATTTACTCTAGAATGCACCTTGGATATCTCTTGCGTGAGGGAAAAATTAAAATGCTTGGTAGAAGGTCATATGTATAATTTATAACAGTATACACCAATTCCAAAACTATGCTGCATTTTTCATTAAATAATATAAATTTAATGTCCTTCAATAGACTTGCAGTATATTCATCAAGTAAAATGACCTTGGAAACATACTGGAATTATCTTAGAAGCAAAAGGATTAAAAACTTTTCATTGGGTTTTAGCTTACTACAGAGTGAAATCACATGAAAATTTATTTCTTCTACCTTAGACCTGAAATTATTAATGAAAAATTTATACACAAGCTCTTCTAGTTTGAGCTTTACTGGCTTATGCTTTGATGTAATTAAGTGAAAAAGCCAGAGGCCTTTTTAGTGTAAATTATTTAAATTTTTAGATTCAAGAATCCAGATTCTGCTCTTCCCAAAGAAATGCAAAACTTAGTTACCCCTGCTTTTCACCTCCTTGTTAATTAACCCTTTAAGCCCCGATATCCACTTACAAATTCTCCAAACTGATCTCCATACATTTCCTTTAAGAGTGAGTTGAGAGAATTTGATAAAAGATCAAAGATTTTTCTCTTTAAGATCATTTTATCAATTCTCGTAGACTTTGCTCTTGACAATCTATGGTTATCATTAGGAGAAAATTGATTTTGGACACTATTGGGACATAGAGGGTTAAAAATAAAATATTACAGTCAAACCTGATCTGCTAACGGCCAATTCTCCACTCCTTTCTTTTGCTCTGATGGACAGTCCTAGCCTGTGTACAGACCCCACCTCTCCACCACTCTTTATCTTTTTACCTTTTTTGGATTGTGTCAAGTAGTCACTAAAGGTTCGAACACACTAGGTGACAAGTTTCAGCAAAATGTCGCCATGACAAATCACTCCTTGTGTACAGGTCCAGCGAAAAGTTGCAGCAATACGTTGCCGCGACAAATCATTTCATGTGTACTGAAGTCTAAATTTTTGTGAAAATCTTTGTCTCTGGAACAGAATTTTGTTGCTGCAACCAGTCGTAAAAAATCAAATGATACTGAATTTGTGCAACTTGTTGCACCGACAAAACTCTGTTTCAGAGACAAAGATTTTCACAAAAATTATCCAGTACACATGAAGCGATTTGTTGCTGTGATGTGTTGCCGTGACATGTTGTGGCAACTTGTTGCCTTAAATGCATACTGACCTTACTGGGAGTTATGTTCAGCATAAAAATAACGACAAGTGAAAAATTTTTCAGTAAGGCTTTCCAGGTTGAATATTTTTCGACAATTATATGCGAAAAACTTTCAGTAAAATCTTGCACTTGTGGTCGTCCACAACCTCAAATCTGAAGCTCTCTAATCAGGAGCCTAAGCAACGATGACAATGGCGGTGAAAACATCTCTTAAAAAGTGAATCTATTTTTCACACTGATTCCAAATTCATCGCTCTTATTCTATGTTGTTCAACTTGTGAAACGTTGATAGTGAATTTTTCTGAAATTGAATTCTGGTACCTAAGGTAAAAAAACATTAGAAAACTGTTGTCTTGTGTTCACATCCGCCAGAAAATGTAAAATTAGGCAGTTTCACAGCCCCAATATCCACATACAAATTCTCAAAACTGATCTCTATACATTTCCTTTAAAAATTAGTGAAGAGAATTTGATAAAAGATCAAAGTATTTTCTCTTGAGTGATCATTTTATTAATTCTCATAACCTCATCTGATGACAATGTATGGATATCGTTAGGAGAAAATTGCTGTTGGTCACTATTGGGACTTAAAGGGTTAAGCTACTTAAAATGTTTGCATAGTGCACTAATTGGCTTTTAAATATTGTACAAAAAGGAATGAAAGGGATTTTCTTGATTTCTTCCTCTTGGAAAGGGCTGGTTGGTTACCAAATCAGTCCATTTTCAGGTTGACATAAATATATCTTATAAACTTGAGGGATGCAGCAAAGGCAACAGTGCCCAGCATGAGGAAAAACACATAGCAGGCCAGTAATGTATAACCAAAGAACTGCACTGACTGTAACATGCCCGACATGTTGGATCTCCTGTAGTAGTAAAACACGGCATAGCAGAACACGAACAAAGATGTGGAACTGTAAGAAAACAAGCAAATTAAAAGAATTAGATAATGATTTACAACTTCAACTGGTCCTATAACTAACAGATCAAATTTCCAGTATTAAATTAAATGTAATTTAACCCATTCGCCCCTGAACCGCCCGTAACCTCCTGTGCGGATCCAGGTCCTTTCTACCCTTTGTGACGTCATCAGTTTTAACATTCAAGGACAACTTTCTTCGCTAACTTGTGCAGAGTGAAGAGATGTTTCAAACCATACCAGAATGAGCACGATTCAGTCAAGGACACCGGAGAAAGAAGCAAAAAACCACGTGACAAGGACCTGAAAATCTCCATGAAAATCTTGTTCCATTACCCACCTACCTTTCCTTTCACCTAATCCTAAGATCCTAAAAGCTTTCCTACAAACTCTTCCCACCAAAATGAAGCCTACTAAATGCCCAACAAGAGAAAAAAAAAAATGAGGCAAGAAAAGCGAAAAAAGAAGGGAGGAGAGAAAGCGAAAAGTAAAAGTCAAGAATGCTGTGTCACTTTTAAACCCAAAAACTATGTCGAAATTTTGCTTTCTGCGCATGCCCGACTTCCGATCTCCAGGAGCGAATGGGTTAATGTACTTGACTGAAGTCTAATCAACTGCAACATGAAAAATGCTGGAAGGTTTAATAGTTGAAAATTTAAAACCGATTCAATTTAAAGATTTTGTGTCAAAGAAAGGCACTTTATTTGAGTGTCAATGCATTTAGCATGGAAGTTCTAATTGTGCACACTATTTTTATGTCTCCTACTGGAGTTGGGACTGCCATTTTATGAGCCATGCAAAGGATTCACCACTTGCAGTGCAAAGGGAGCACCTTCATTTCCCAGTTATTTTAAGACCCTGAGTGATGCTTTGGTCCTGGTAATCAAACCCGCGACCTCCCGCTCTGCGGTCAAGTCCTCTACCAACTGAGCTAATCCTGCATGGTCAAGAAATTTCAGAATTTGATCACTGGACAGTGGGGGAGGACAGAGGGTGGTAGCCAAGGAGAATGGGGGGAAGGAGGGGTATGAGACGTATGGAAGGGGAGGGGAGGCAGGAGATGGGAGTTCTTAAAGGGCAGTAGGGGGATATCAGGCATCAATGCTGAATATTTTTTAATCAAAAAGGGTTTAAGGGAGGAAGCCAAAAAAGGGGAATGGGAGCCAGGATAGCATAAGAGGCTAAAGGTTTGGACCCCATGTAGAGAGCTTACCCTCCACACATAAGGGAACGCCACCACCATCGATAGTCCTCGCTGGAAAGTTGGAAATACGTCAGAGCTATGGAGATGCAGGCCGTGACACTAAGCAAGATGACAAAGACCACAAATAAGATTCCATATAAGGTGTATTGCTCACGACCCCACAAAGTGGAGAAGATGTAGTACAGCTCCACTGATATGGCACTGCAAATTATAAAGAAAAATAATCACAAGATTTTGTTTTTCATCATCAGGAAAGTATTAAGACAGAGTCATGGTGACTACAAAAATAATACGTTATTCTAACATCTGCGACTCTCTGGCTCATAAAATCCTAGGGTGTTATCATTCTTGAAATAAAACCTCTTTCTATTGGCAGAATGTTTGCATTTAGCACTTTAATTTTCAAATCTCATGATTTTACAAAAAATAATTAAAATTGGAATTTTTTCAATTTTTTAACTTTCCAAAGGGTTAACAAACCATTGATAACAATATTGAACCAGAAACAGCAGTGGATCAATCCTCCAAGTTGCGACCATTTTAGTTGCCATGGCGCCTAAAATTTTGAAGCTGGCCACTTGACTTGTAAAAAAGTCTCCCTAAACCAAAAGAATTGGTCACCAAGTGGCAACCAAGCAAAAACTTTAACTTGGAGGGTTGTGGATGTTCTTGCATAATTACAAATTATAGGATCTCTGCCAGATTGCAGCCTTCTAATACAGCTACCCCATCCAAACTGCCAATTCGTAAGAACTGTTAAATATTACTGATTGGAGTTCTAGTATTAATAATGATAAAATTTATTGCTAAGGTCAAAATAAACTACATGCATTTGTAACAAAATAAGTTTTCTTTAGAGTTTATAATTATTTGGTTCGTTACCTGAATGGTAAAAAGCCACCAACAGTCATCCTAACAAAGGTAGTTCTATACCTGGAAAAAGAAAGTACAAGCTATTAATACATGCACATATTATTATTTGTCACTTCATTTCATTCAGGTCTAAAGGAAAGGTTTGTGAGGTTCCATAACTTGTGATCTTGTACTTAAACATTTCATCTTAATTGTTTAACATTTCACAAAAAAAAAATTGCCTGTGTATAGAAATTAATTTTGGGATGGGAGGCAAAATTAATGGAGTACAACTTTTTGATGGTTCCAGTACAGCAATAACTGAGACATACATCATAATGTCTGAAAAGGTAGTCCTCTTTTCCTAGTCAGAATGAAATTCGTGTTCACTTGCTTCAAAGCCCATCCTTCAACCAGTTTCCAGCTTTTGCATCTATTTTTCAGTGACTCGGACTGATTTTTGCCAAAGGTTAACAAGGCTCTCGTCAAAACCCTGCAGCCAGCTAAAAAACAGTTACTTGGAGGTTTGCGCTGTCTACTTTTTGGGGAAAATGGGTAAAGTGAGAGAGTGAAAGCCTGTAATTGCCTACAGCACTCAATTACCAAGCCACCTACTTTCACATCCTGGCTGTCTACTTTAAAACTTAAAACTGTAGCCCAGGTTTTGTAACCCAGGCTGTGGGGCAGCCAGTTTGCCCATGTAAAGGTGAACAACTATTGGTCTTTAGAGCAGATAATAAGGAAAAGAGCATTGAAGTGTTTACCATGGTATTGGTGGGATTTCTCGAGGAATGTTCTTTGTTCTGCATGGTGCATTGAAGCTTCCAGCCGAGTTTTTGCCAAAAATTCCCCCAAGAATAGTCAAAGGAAAACCCACTGCAATGAGAAATAATAACATGTCATGAGACAAAATTTTTCAAAGAGGAGGCAGGGTGCAAAGAAAGTCAGTTTCACAGCCTGCCATTCGGGCAAGCTGTAGCTAGCATGTACTAGCCCACAAGTCATTTCAACTAGCCCCAAAACCCTTTTTGATTAGCAGGATTGATAACCATCCTTCTGTAATTTGAATTTCCCCAAAAAACTGTACTTGCCCATCAGGCAAGTTAAGAACAAAAATCACTAGCCCGATAGCAAAATCCACTAGCCCGGGGCTATCGGACACGACTTTCTTTGCACGCTGTAAGAGGTTAGCTACAGTCCTTGAGATTTTCAGATCTGTTATCAGTTATGTACTAAAACTCACCTATGAGCCATATCAGCATCAGCAGTATTATGGTGGTGTATGGCAGAGCTTGAGTTGACTGATAATACCAGGCGATTGAGTTTATAATGCTCCATATCACAAAGAAAGGTACTATAATAACAGAAGACATCAAAACCGATGTTAGTGAAAGCTGTGCTTAAAGATGAGACACAGGTCAGGGTCTTGGGCTTCTTTGCTGAAACTTTCCAGTCCCCTAAAGAAACATAAACCTTTATAATTATTAGTGTCGTGGGGTCTCTGTGCACTTACAGAAAAAAGCCCCCAGGATGTTAGCAAGCCTTCAAAGAGGTACGTTGGGACATTGGATGTCTATAAGAACCGGCTGCCAGCTTCTTTCACCGGCTGAAAAAGCGCTTACCATTGGCTCAAATTGCTTGGAAAAATAAAGACACGGGATAACTCCTAAGGTGCAGTGAAGTAAAAAGCCAGCTTGACTAAAAACGACCGCTCACCAATGGTATGATTAGCCACGGAGACTTCTTGATGGAACTGACATTGTCACTTAATTGATCAATGAAGACAACAACTAACGTCTACACAGCAGTAAATGACAAGACACTAATTACTTGACAGATGATACTTGATGATTTCAACGCAGCCTGTTGAAATCAGTTGCTGTAATCGACAATCCTTTTCTTTACCAAAGACACCCTAATAAACATTACTTACAACTACATAAAAATTATACCTGAAAATATACTAGTCGTCAAGACAACATTCCAAACCCAGTTCGTTCCGCCAATATTTCTGTAGAAATTACTGGATACATATCCTGATACACCTGGCAACAAAACATCACCGTACACCTAATAACAAAACTGAACTGCACACTGAATTTTCTATTTATATTAAAGAAACAGAGCCTGTATTAAAAATCTAGGCTAAAAGGGAAAAACAATAAAATGACTTAATGTACATTTCATTAATTTTGGTTGGGTTTAACAACATTAAAAAGTAATAAGAAATCAACAGCACTGCTTATTTCCGGATGAACCCTATATTGTAACTGAAGTAAGATCTGTTTTCCCATGGAGTGGACTTTGTTGAAGAGGGTTGTAAGATAATGATGGGCATTTCTAAAACATTTTAAACCTTGAAGTTAGCTTATATAAACCTTAATAGTAAGCCAGGACAGAAATGAACATTGATAGTGTCTTATCTTAATTACTACAAATGTACACTGGGTATCTTAGTGTTGTTAGGGCCCTAACGATATTTGCTTACTGCTGAAAAGGTTACCATAAATAACTTAATTAACTCTACTGGGTTGTTTTACGTAAAAGAAATTCGTTGTATAGTACAGCAACTATCATACACTGTAATTTATTTTAACTTACAGCATGTCAAGGCATAAAGAAGAACGGCAGCAGTGTTCATGGAGCCATGCCTACCAGTTAAATAAATTTAACAAAATAAATAATTTTAAAAATGACTTTCAATAGCCCCTGAGTGTACAAAATAAACAAGCAAAAAAATTATAAAAATAATCAATTCAGTATAAAAACACTCAACCAGGGAGTTCAGTAGGTGCCGCAGATTGTAGAATTCTCCGTTTCCTATGCAGAATTCTCCAGAAAACTTTCGGTAGCCCATGACCATTTTTTATTCAAATGTGGACTCTCTTTAAAAGTATTTTTCCGTAACACTACACCTCTCTCCTGCTACTAGAATTCTTAATGAAAACCCTGCTCAACAAGTCCAAAAATTTTGTCAGCTGCTGAAATATTGTCCCTTGTTTTCTAGAAGAGATTTGCTTTTCATAGATTATGCCACGTGCAAAAAACTGGCAATGTACTTGACATTCCAAAAAACACTTCTTCAAATGTGTTACAAATTCCCTTCTTAGCCACTTCATTCCAGCAACAAACTTATCAATACATACAGTCAAGACATACTCTTTTTACAGGTAGCCATTACGACTCCTGAAAGAGGATCATTAGGTTATCCCTATATTAAGACAGAATCCACCAAGAAATTGAGTAATTATTTTAATTTACAGTGGGCGAAAATCTGGTACCAGAATAATTTAAAGAATTTTGCATTCTTTTTTACATTTTTCAAGGACTTAAGATGTAATAAATCATCTGTAACTAGTCACACCAAAGAAAATTTCTCTTGGAAGTCGGAGAAAATGAATGTCAAATTTCACAAGAATCGTGATTACGCAGGTAAAATTCTGAAAATTTCATGTGTAAGAAGTAATTCTGTGAAAGTTGATATTCATTTTCTCGGGCTCCCATGAGAAATTTTTTTTTGGTGTTACTACAGATGATTTATTACATCTTTAGCAATTGAAAACTGTAAGAAAGAATTCAATACACTTTAAGTAATTATTCTGGTACAAGATTTTCGTCCACTGAAAATC